AAGGAAAGACGTGGAAAAGAAAATGAAACGCGGAATAATGGAAGAAGATAAAATTTGGAAGCCAAGAGAGAGAGAATAACATGGAGAGGAGTGAAATGTAGAAATGTAGAGAAATAGAATAATATTAAAAATGAGATAAAATAAAATAAAAGGTAGGAGTTGAAGAAAAATAGAATGATATGGAAAATAAAATAAAATAAAATGCAGAAACGTACAAGAGAAAGAGAACAATATGGAAAAGAAATATAGAGATCTACGGAAATGAAATAATATTAAAAAAAAATAATAATAAAGTGTAGAGAATAATGAGAAAAAATAAAAAGCAGAAGTTTATGAAAAATAAAATGATATAGAAATGTAGAGATCTAGAGAAATAGTATTAAAAATAAATAAATAAAATGTAAAAACGTACAAAAGAGAGAGAGGGAGAGAGAACGTAAAGATTGAAAAAAAAATGAATGATATGGAAAGGAATGAAACGTAGAAGTTTAAAGAGAGAGAAAGAAAGAGAGAGAAAGAGAAGAAGAATAATCCTGTAACGAGAAATAGAATAACAGAGCGACTTGTTGAGAGTTATCGAGAGAACGTGGAACGAATAACGATATTCTTAATTCGTTCGAATCCTATTAGCGCAATCCTGGTAACCAGATTTTAAGCGTCTCGAAAAAACCGAAACTAACTTTTTCTTGAGTCAAATTGCCAATCGGTGTCTTCCACTGCTGCGGCTTCTAATCCAATATACTTTTAAGTCCATGAAAAAAAAAAAATAAGTCAACGTTTAGAAATGGATTCGATGTTCAGTCTTCTTGGCAGGAACAACTCGTAATCTTTTCTTGAAAATAAATCCTTCGAAATATTAAATTTTCGTGTTTTCTGCTTCCACTTTTCGACCGTACCAACGATCTTTTGACTATGAAAATCGATACGAATTTTCATAACAATCGGGACAATTCTACGTGAGTATCTATCGTTTCACAAACACGGCACAAACTAATTTTCTAGGATGGAAACTTTTGCGAGGGATCCTTTCAACTAGAACGGTCGCCATCCAAAAGTTACCACGTACAAGGAGTTTGAAATTAAAGCATTATCCAATGGAGCCGAAGTTAACCGACTTTCTCTCACTTGGTGAATTTAAGAACAGTCTTAATTAGCATGGCAAATTACTCGGATAAAAGGAACCACAAGGGAGAGACTTCTCCTTTCCTTTCGAAACGAAGAAAAGAAACCGAAGAAAACGATATAATAAAGATAAAGCTCCATTGTTATACACCACTGTTTCTCAATCTTATCCTCCTCGATAATTTAGCTTGCTGTGTGTTTGTTTAATATTCATAAAGAAAAAAATTCTATTTTAATTCGATAATCACAATTAGAAAATCAGTACTTCCTCGTTAAAATGGAAATACGATCGCTACGAAAATCTCGAGACTAAAGACAAAACTGCGACAAACAGCTCCCTCGAGGAGGGAGCCATCGTGTTAATCACTTTTTATACGCTTTATCAAAGAGCAGGAAAAAAAGAAGAGCGGTCAGTTCATTTCGAGAAAATTTTTTTTTCTTTTGGTCGAAAGGAGTGGAGGAGCTCATTCAAAGGGAGAGGTAACACGCCCTCCCTCCTCTCCCTTTTCTCGTTTCCTCGCTACGATCGGCCTCTTGAATGCCTCGCCTCGGGCACCTTCCACAAGTGCCACGTGTTGTTTGCCGTCGTTTTGCTCCTCTTGCTTAAAAAAAAAAAAAAAAAAAAAAGGAAAAAAAAAACGTCAACGTATAATCACGCACCGGTGGTTCTGGGGGCGCCAATCGTCCGCGGAAATCAACCAGTTGCGCGTGTTTCCGCCCGTCACCTCCGCCGACCGCATCCGTATCCGCATTTTCCTTTCCATCGATCGATATATACAACATTCTATTCCTATATAACTCTGCGCTCTCTCTCTCGTACGACGAGAGATATATCCGTCGATAAAGCCGATTCCCTTAATTACCAAGCCGGATGAGCTCTCGTCTCGAGTGTCAGCGGACGAGCGAGGGAGAGAGAAGACAGGGAAGGGGGACGAAAGAGAGACGAGTAAACAAGGGCAATGAGGGAAAATTCATTTATTCATTGGGTTCAGCTTTGCGCTCGCCGGTCAAACAGAAAGGCCTCTTTTCACGAGACTCATCTCTCTCTTTCTGGCACAGGAGGGAGGAGGAAGGAGGAGGGAAAAAATGGCGCGCAATCTAGGCAGAAACGAATGAACGAACGAAGGTAGACGGGTGCGAGGTTTAACCGC